CCCCCCCCCCCCCCCAAAAAAAAAAAAGCATTGGTGTTGTAGTGGTTAACATATCTACCTTTGAAGCAGCTGTTGTGGCGTTTCCATTGATCTACATTTTGCGCACTTTTTTACCTCAAATGTTTCAAACAAGTTTTTACATTCGTTTGATGTGGTTTTTGTGGCGAGTCAAAAAAGTCATTCGTAAAACTGCAATGGAAACGGAGTTTGCGACCGCTCCATGTTGAATTACCAGACACGGATCTTAAAGGATTATTGTGAAAATTTTTACGAGACTGATCTTAAGGGAAAACCGGAAAGCGGTTTGTTTTGCATGCATTAGTGTCTGTTTAAAGAAATCAGAAAACGCTTCGTATTCCGTTTGACTGAAACTGAGTTGGGTTGTAGGTGTGCCATCTGTTATTGGCTTGGTATATCACAAAGACCACTCCTTCTGCGAAATCGCCGCAGAGATTCGGATCGCCCCTGACTGCAGGGGTTCCTGAGAGTTTCTGTTAATGCTACGCTTGAGAACTTTGTAAATGATTTATGCATTAAAGTAGTCTGAACCATAGACGACTTTTTAAATCATACTTCAAAAAAATTTGCCCTGGCCCTTCACTATAAGACGTTAAATTTGATTTAGCATATTTCTAATATAGCATATGACCTTATCTCATTAACTGTATGACTAATTGTTTTCCATTCATTCTTTCGTCCATTTTTTTTTACATTATCTATTTTATAATTGTTATTGTTATTATTATTACTATTATTAAATAACAATAATATCCGTTTTCGCTTTTTCCGTCTAAAATCGGAAAACGAATTGTACTCACGTATACGTGCAGTGATCTACCTCACTATTAACATTTAATGCATCCTTTCTTGATGGATCCATGTACCCCTTTTAAAGTGTGAAGTTGGCACCATTTTGAAGATAGTTAGGCTGGATGTAACAGTAGTATCGTGAGCTGAACTGGCCTGCCTGCTCCCTGCGCACATTGATTGTCAAGTGGAGTCTGGACAGGTTTTCAGGAGGTCACTGAGGCCTGTCTCTGGGTGGGATGCCAGTCCACATACACACGGCTGGCGATTTGGAGTTAGCCTGACTGTACATCGCAGGACCGTAGAAGGAAACCTGAGTGGAGACGGAATTCAACCCCCCAGCCCTTGTGAATGAGGCAACAGTGCTGCAAGAATTTCTCTATGGGATCTATAAAGATAATCTCATGTGGGGTTCTTCACCTTTTATGGTTTTTAGGGCATTAAATATTTTGTGACCCCCCCCACCCTGTCCACCCACACATACATGAAGGGGAAGATGTGTAAAATGTCACACTGTGGATCTGCGTCCATTCAATCGCTTGTCTGTGTAAATCCATA